CCAGCCGAGAAGCAGAGGCAGTGCGCTCTGGACTCATTGGCTGAGGGGGGAAGGGCGGGGCTCCGGGAGGGCGCGCTCCAGAATCATTGGCTGATGACGCGGGGGCAGGGCTCCGGGAGGGCGCGCTCCTGGGTCATTGGTTGAGGACGCTGGGGCGGGGCTCCGGGATCCCTGGCTGGGGGCGCGGGGCGGAGCTCTGCGAGGCGCGCGTCTAGACTGCGGCCATGGAGGGAGCTGGCGCGGGCTTCCGGAAGGTGAGGGCCGGCGGGCTGGCGGGGGAGAGGCTGGCACAGACCCTGCGTTCGGCCCCACGCGTGACACCGTGAGGGGCCGAAGCCAGCCCCCGCGCTACCCGTCTGTACCTTCCAGGTTGGGCCCATTCCCGGACTCCGACCCCCACCCACTCTCACGCCCCATGCATTCCTGGGGCCGGGGTTCCCGCAGCCGGCTGGGAGGGCGCGTAGGGCAGCTTGGCCCGCGGTGAGATAGAGAAGGTCTGCAAAACCCGGCGGGCGTGGGCGCCGTGAGAGAAGCTGGGCCGCCCCGCGAGGGCGGGGGGGATGTCTCCTCGTAAGGAAGTAAGACTCCAGGAAGGGACAATGAGACCGGCCACCCCGAGGGTCTGGCAGGACCTGCTCAAGCCACTGAGATGAGGATTTCTTTTTGCCTGCTCCCTGCTAGACACCAACACAGCTGCCGGCAGCGTCCACTTGGCTAGCGCTGTCCGGGATGTGTGGTTTCCCAAGTGCTTCCTTAGTGACACACGGAGCCCTGGCAGTGAGGCACTGTTAGACACGCTTGACAGAGTAGCCCCGTCTGCTGGTGGGAAGACAGAGGCACTGAGATGTTAGGTGATTCAGCAGGGCAAAGGTTCCTCGGTGTAAGGACGATATGTCAAGAGGGCCTTGTGAGCCTTCGTGGCCTGGAAAAGGAGGGTCTTCCCTTGTGAACCTGTCCTTGGTGGAGGATTTCAACCTAGTAGAGGCAGGAATTCTCTCTGTTTCATCTGCATCAGTCCCTCTATCATCCAGGACTGGGGCTCTGCCCTTGCCCAAAAGGGGTGAGTGATCCGAAAGGGAAAGTCAGAGGCTTTGGCTATCTCACAGGGTAGTTCTGAGAATCCACAGGGTTATAATAGCTGAAAGGCCACTTCTGGAGGGAGGAGCACTGGGCACATGTCACCAGGAGGTGTCTGTGGCATTCCATCAAGCTGACCCTGCAGTTGAAACGCCAGTGAGGTGGCAAGTCCTGGCTCAGAGCTGGAGTTGTGGTCATTACATACCGCAATGAGCATCAGGGAGGGAGAGGGGCATGTGTCCCTAGCATAGCACCTGCATGTCATCCTGGGGCAAAGGCTGGGTGTGTCCCAAGCTGGGCCTTCCCTGATCCTGCACTCCCTGAGGTCACGCCACTGTGATGGAATGACTTTTGGGTTGTTGCGACAGCCCTGCTCAGTGGCCCACTCTCTGGCATGGTCTTCCCAGGCAGCCGTGTTGGGGGTCCCAGAGCAGGTGGAGAAGGTAGCACCTTCTCTGCCTTTTCTGGTGCCTTCCTGGCAGAGCTCATGAAGCAGATAAAAAGGCCAGCAGGTGGCGCTGAGCTCATGCAGTGATTGACAGGGACCCTCACTGCTGGGGGCAGTGAAGGGCTTGGAACCAGCCAGCGGGACTGCTGGCCCTAGGCTGCGGGTGTTGACTGCTGACCGTGTGACACATTCTTCACCTTCTGGGCCCCAGATCTTCATCTGTCCACGCCCTTCCTGTCTCCTCTGCTGGTCAACTCCGTTGAACTGCACCTGCTGAGGTGGTATGACCTCCCCATGGCCAGTGCTGGTGGCTTGGTTGGTCCTCACTCACCTTCCCCTACATAACACATTTCTTGGGCGCCCACTGTTGCTGCCCTTCCCCTCCCTGGTCACTCTATGGCAGCTCCTTTCCTAGCCACTGCCACCTGGTCCCTGTCCTTGACTACCTCACTGGTTCTCACATCTCCACAAACCACCCAGGTACTGCCCCTCCCCCCAAATCCCAGCTCTGGCTATCCACTCCCAGCTCTGGCTATCCACTCGCAACTCTTGTGGCTCTCAGTGTGTCCCAAGCGGAGCTTCTGTGTTCCCAGCCCCAGGATACACACACCTACAGCCCCCATCTCCACAGTGGCACCATCTTTTGAAGGTCTTAGTCTGGCTGACAGGTCCAGGTTCTGCCTCCGCTTTCTGCTGCCTGGACACCCCGCAAGACCTCAGCAGCCAAAGCAGTCCTTCCAAAGGCCAGAAAGCACTCCCTATTTCCTACAAGGGAGAGCTAAACACATCTCCCTCAGGCTCCAGCCTCACTGACTTCAGTGGCTCCATACTTCCTGTGACGTGAGCACCTCCTACAGGATGAAATGCTCAGTGCCACACGCACCAGGTAGGGACCTTGGGGCAACTGACCCAGCGCCCAGAACAGGGTCTGGCACAAGCTGCAGTGTTGATGGCACTCCTATGACTGCTGTGAGCCCACCTTGGAGCAGCCACCTGCAGCCCCAGATTCTGTCAGTGCTCTACCTTTTCTACTGCCTCACAGGGAGTACGGGAATCATGGTCCTTTGGCCTAGGGGACAGAGTGCAAAGTTATGCTGGATTCAGTGGAGACTTTCTCCTCTCTCTGTCCCCAATTCCCTGGAACCCCAGAGAGTGGCCAGGACTGTTCCCACTTGTCCACTGCTCATTGTCCTGCAGTATTTCTGCAGCAAGGTTCCTCAGACCCCCCTTCTTGCCAGGCTCCCAAGACATTCTACAAGGCTGTGCACAGCTTCCTCCACTCTGGGCACCAGGCCAGCCCTCCATCCCCTATCCTGGGAGTGGTCAAAGGGTGACTCTAGTTAGAAATCACAACCCCATTACACCCAGAATGAACCGTCCAAGGGGCCTGCAAAGTAGCGGGGGGACGTGGCCTGGTGCTGACACCTCTCCCCCTTTCCCCCCACTCTAGGAGCTGGTGAGCAAACTGCTGCACCTGCACTTTAAGGATGACAAGACCAAAGGTATGGGTCCACAGGAAGCAGGTCCCCTGCACCTGCACTCAGGGACCACTCCCTGTAGCTCTACAGGGACCAAGGCCTCGGGGAGGGTGGGGGTGGGAGCTGCCCCTGGGAGGCAGAAGGAGGGAGGCGGGAATACAGCATGGCCTGGAGCCTCAGTCAGGGTGTGGCTAGGGTGTGGGTTCCATAACCTTCCCCTGCCTTGCAGTCAGCAGTGACGCACTGCAGCTCATGGTGGAGTTGCTGAAGATCTTCGTTGTGGGTGAGTTGAAGGACCCAAGCCCAGCTAGAGTGTTTGGGATCTCTTTTGTGGTTTTTCAGGGGGGAGCCAAAACATAAATTGTCCCCAGCTTCCCACAAGAACCTATGCTATGTCCCTTGAAGCTGTTTGCCAAGAGCCACAGCCTGGCTCAGGGCTGCTGGTGGGCACAGTGGGGAGGTGGCCCAGGCCAAGGCTGGCTCAGGACTCAAGACCTCTCAGCTTTCCCTGCCCTCTCACTTCCCTCCTGTATCGAGGAAGAAGCAGCTATCCGTGGGGTCCGGCAGGCCCAGGCAGAGGATGTGACTCGGGTAGATGTGGATCAGCTGGAGAAGGTGCTTCCTCAGCTGGTACGTGGGGCACAAGTGGGGGCAGCTAGATCGGCCCAGGAGCAGTGCCTGGCTGATTAGCTCTGAGCACTCCTCTCCTCCACAGCTCCTGGACTTCTAGGGGTCTCCATCCTCGATGAGGCCACACCAGGGAGGCCTGTGGCCTAAGGGAAGCAGGCCTCGTGTCTCTTGTAGCCTCTGGTTTCGGATGGGGAAGGACCTACCTGAGGGGTTTGGAGCAGATTCAAAGCAACGTTTAGACCAGATCCCTGAGACTCTCCTCCAGCTTTTGCAAAATGGGCAGGCCATCCTGAACTGCTGCCTTTCCTAGCATCCTCTGCCCTGTTGCTGTGGCGCATGGGATGGGCAGTAGAACCTGGGGGTTCCCTGCCTCCTGTCTGGGCTGCCACACGGGGTCCCAGGAAAGCAGGTGCTAGGGAAAGGCTGGCCCTTGCCTACCTCACTGTGCCCCAGCTGGCAGCAGGTACCTGTGTGTTACAAACAGCGGCTGGCAGCACTGCCTCCTCCTGACATTCTTGCCACCTGACATCAAAGCTGGTGTGTGACCTTTCTGCCACTTGATATTCTCCTCAGAAGATGCTTCCCTGAGCTATAAATTTGTTCTCACAAAGCAACATCAATAAATCAAAACCATCTCTCCCAGGCTGGGCCTTATTGCCATTAATCACCAAAGTCAAGTTGCTTCAAAGCCTCGCTCCCCTGTGTGCTCTCTTCCACCCTCATAGGACGAAAGCAAAACTCTCAAGGAGGACAGAATAACAAACAGCATGTGTGCGCACCCCACCAGCCTGGCTGTGAAATTGGAGCCCGTGCACATGTGGCTGCCCGCCTGGAAAATGTTACTCCCACCCTAGGGGCTATGGCGGCCACAGGGTTGCCACCAGTGGGCAGTCACTTCCAGGAATGCCACTATGGGAGCAGCCTCAGACCACTGGACCGCTACAGGCAGGACCAGGACAAAGGGCAAGAGGAACCCTGGCTTGAGGCCATGCTGAAATGAAGGCCTTCCCCTCCTGTCCTCTCAGTCATGGGCCCCAAGCAGAGCGAGGAGGGTGCAGGCCAGTCTCACACACACCCAGGGCCCACCTTCAGAGACATGGAGCTGTGGGATCCACCTGGAAGGCTCGCCAGAGTCTGGCTGCCCTATGCTTGGGGCCTCTGGTGGGCCCGCTTGGAAAGCACTCAGGTCTTAGGCCACCCCTGCCCCCAGCTCCCTGCAGGGTAACCTTGCCCACATCCCTTTAGCTTCCTCATCAAAGTCCAGGATAGGAAATGCCCAGAGGATTCTCAGCTGGGGACTGGCAGTCAGGAGACTCCTGCTAGGGTTGGACACAGAAGGGGGATACAGTCAGGCCCTCGGGCAAGGGACAACAGCTGCCCCATGGGGACTCCAGCAGCCTTGGGAGGACTTTTAGAGGCAGCCCAGCCCCTGCCCTGCTCACCACCTGAACATAGGATTTGGGGCAGCCCTTCTCTGTCCCTGATTCAGCCCCAGTGGCCCAGGGTAGGGCTGGACTAGGCAGAACTGCTAGAACCCCCTTTCGCTGCCCCTTCCCCCTAAGTCTCTGGGCTTGAAAGCCCAGGGGACAGGTAGAAGTCATTAGACCTGCAGGAAGAGGTGGCCACTGGGGAGACAAGCACCAGCACTGGCCCTGCAGCCACTCAGGACACCAGGAGACCCCAGGTCAGGCTCTGCGGGTAGGGGGTGGCTAACTACCTCCTCCCCCAGCTCTGAGCAAGGGGTAGCCTGGCCTGAGATGCAAATCATCTGCCCAGAAGTCCTTCCTGCACAATTCTTCTTGAAAGGAGCAACTCATGGTATTGATTAGTATAAGAGCCCCAGTGGTGCAGGGTGCACACCTGTGCCCTTGTGGATGAGAACAAGGCCCAGTGTAGCCCTGGGGTCTACCTTGAGGGACCACCCCCAATCCAGCCAGGCTCCATAAGAGCCTGTTTTGGAGAAAACACAACAGGGGGTCTTGAGAAGCACGCGTCTTTATTTGGCGTCACACCTCTGCTGGCAGCTCTCACCTCTTGCTGGCTGCAGCAGAAACACATAAGATGACCACCGGCTCCAGGGTCCCACTTTCCTGTCAGCCTGCTCACCCACCCACCCACCCACCTGCAGTACCTG